AAACAGTTTCAGCTGTGCAGAAACTCACCATTTCTTACTAATTTTCTAAGTCTTTTCATAAGGCAGTCCCTTTTTTTTTTTTTTTTTTAAGATTTTACTTATTTATTTGAGAGAGAATGAGAGAAACAGCATGAATGGAAGGGGAGGGCCAGAAGGAGAGAGAAAAGTAGACACACACATCCCTTCCAGCGCCCCCTTGCCTTACCCCCACACCCTGCCTCCTCCTCCGCCTGGGCAAGGAACCTGATGTGGGACTCTCTGACCTGAGGCAGATGCTTAACCAACTCAGCCACCCAGGTGACCCTCCCAGTGAATAAAGATATTCTCTCCCTCTGAAAATCACTAGGATCCACCCATACTTAGCAAAACTCTATTCATCTTTTATCACACCATTTAAATCATAATCACCTAGAAAATAATTAATTTAAGAAAAGTTTGAAAATAAAATTCTGTGGAATAATTCCAAGCAGAAGAAGACCTGCAAAGAAATCTTGACCTTTAGCAGGCAGTTCGTTATTATGTTATTGTTGTAGTAATTATTTTTTTGTGAATTAAAGAATACAGCATATGAGTATGACTGACACTGGAAACCAGGGTTTTACTGTGGGAGAAGAGAGGTATAGATATGGACGAAAGAAAGATGAGGAAAAACCCTGTGGTGCTGAATTTGAATTAGAAGTATCAGTATGATTTAAGGAAAAAAAAAAAAAAAAAAGGAACTCCCTGGTTCATCCACTGAAATCAGGACCAATCCACAATGGTAAACAATAGCAATGAGTACATTTATATATAGACTTTGGTTTTTAAATTCTACTCTTAACTAAAAAAAGTTGTTTTTTTTTTTTCATTTGGTGAAATGTTTTTTTGTTTTTTTTTATAATTTTATTTTTTATAAACATATATATATATATTTTTTTCCCCAGGGGTACAGGTCTCTGAATAAAACAGTTTTAATGCTCTTGAAAAAATGGCTGATTTCAGGTCTGGCACAAGAAAGGTACAAGGTAAGCCTGGACATCCTGTATGTTTAAGTAAAGGAAGTGTTCAAAGACCAAAGAGTCACCTCAGTGGACATAAGAGTCGGCCACTGGTCAACTTTGAGCCAATTTTAGCATCAAAAGGAATACTGGTGTATTTAATACAGAACAAAAAAGAATGCCAGATAACAAATATAGAATGTAAGAATAAAAAAACAGATACCGTTTTTCTGTAGCCCTTGATGTAATAAATGGAATAGGTAAGGATCATTACTGGATGTTAGCAACAGTGGCTGAAAGGTTGTTGGGTTATTCATAGGGTCTCAAAGTATCATCCTGCAGATCATGTGCTAATTATAAAGAGGAAGATAAACTTTACAATAGAGTGTCTAGTTACCACTACCTTAACCAAGTAGTAAAATTTAGCTCACCAGTACCAGGACAACCTGATATTTTATGTCTCCTGATGTGATGTCCTGTTAAGTTCACAACATCTCCTATGTAACATTTTTGCTAAAAGTGTTTATCTTGAATGTAATCATAATGAAACAATCAGATAAACTAAGAAATGTAGACAATTCTACAAAACTACCCCAAATTCTTCAAATAAGTCAATGTCATGAAAGAAACAAACAAGTAGGTATATTGTTCTAGATAACAGACAAATTAACTACATGAACCTGGATGATAAAAGTAAAACAAATACCAGAAAACGTTTTTTAAGGGACAACTGGAGAAATTGAAATACAGACTATATATCAGATATTAACGAATTACTACTGATTTTCTGAGGTGTGTTAATGTGATAAAGGAAAATGCCATTCTTAGACGATATATATGGAAATATTTAGGAATGAAATATCAAGATATCTGTACTTGAGTTCAAATTTGCGTTTAGCAAATATGAAGCACACATGGCAAGATGACATGTGGTAAATATAAATAAAGTAGATGGATATTCATTATACAATTCTTTTAAGTTATTTATAGATTTGCAATTTTCAAAATAAAAAATTTGGGAGAAAATCAGTTCAGATGTCACATCTTCTTGGAAGACTTTTTAAACTTTTCTAGTGACATTATTTTTTCTCTTTTCATATTCCTGTAGACTCTCTATATTTCTACCTCAGCCCTTAAACTTGATACTGTCCATTTACAGGTCTGACATTTTCCCTAAACTTCATAGAACCAGTCTCATCTTCATTAATAGAACTTAGCTCTTCATCTGACATGTACTAAATATTCAGGGTTTATTTATGGATGAAATAATCGATATCCCAAAAGGACAGACCAAAACTGAAATCCAGGTATTGTCACTATCATATTGTGCCTCAAATTCAATGAAATCCATCAAGCAGTAAGCCTATTAAATGTTCCTACGTGATCTGTATCTATATAATAGATATCCACATCACCATTCAAACCAAATTAAAAACAAAGCATAACAATTCTTTAAGGCAGCCTCACCCTTAAGTCATTACAGGCCTATGTTCATTTTGAATTCTTTCTAGTTTCAATTCAAGGCAATTAGCAAAAATGCATACCTGTTCTATGTCCTTGGAATTGGAGGTCTGGTTTTCTCCCGAGACTCCAGGCTGTTCATTTTCCCATGGTAATTTATTTTTTCCTTTTCCTGCACTTAATACCCTTCGGGTACAGACAGTTGGACTGTAAGATCCATAAATTTGCATGCTGTCCCTTGTGTGGTCTCCACAGTGACAGTGTGCACTCTGAGTTCTGTTACCAGCCAAAAGCCAGTCTGTATCTGCTCCATGTGCCAGATGGCTTGACCTACCCTGGGCAGATGATGGCATAAGCATTGCATATTCCACAAATCCCTGTTCTGTTAACCTTGGGAGGGTTTTTCTAGCCAATCTGGCCTGCACAGCATTCATCACTCCATCTCCATTATCTTGAAGTTCAACAGTATCTACAGCTTTGAAAAGGATGCTAGTTTTACCTGAGCCCATTGACGATGCCAACACAGCAAAGGCTTCAAGAGCTGCTTGACGCACCCTGCGTTTGCTATCTACAAGAGCGGGGGCAAGATTAAAAGACAGTCTGGGTAAGTCAAAATCCTCGCTGGGATAGGTCAGGAGGGAGCAGATACAAATGTTCACTACCTCCTCTCTCACTCTGGAATGTTTATGTTTGAGATGTTCCAGGAGTAAACAAAGCACCTGTTGAGGACCTACTTCCTTCATCAGCTTGAGGAAGATCTTCATGTATTCTTGTTTGATTACCAACTTGTTGTCTGCCAGCACTTTGACAGAAGCTGCTATAACTTGTCCCAAGAACTGCTGTACCTGCTGTCCTAGGCGAATAACCAGTAAATGCAGGACCTGAAGTGTGCCATGAACCACTTTGAAGTTAGAATCATCTAACAAATTATACAGCAAGCTAATGAAACCGACAAGACTGGAATGAGGGGTAGAACTAGGATTAAATCTTCCTATCACCTGTTTTAATTCCTCGACGGCCTGAGTCCGGTTCTTATAGTCTTCCTGATCTAACAATCTTGAATGCAGCTCTTGAGGAATAATCCCAAATTTAAGATTGCTGTTAGAAAGAGTCACTGTACAGGGGAGAGGATCTTCAGCAAATCCAGAGGCTTCGAGTTCCAAATAATAAGGAACCTGACTTCCAAATTGGGACTCCAGACGGCGATTGTAGTGTCTCCTCAGGGCAGATGGCAGGCGAGAGATATAGGACTGAAATCTCTCTTGGCCAAGTCGTTCCCCAATTTGCTGAAGTGCAGAGAAAGCAGTCTCAGATTCTTCTTCTAACTCCTGATCGCCAAGCTTTCTGGCGAGGGATATTATTACCTCAGTGAGATCTATGTTTAACAACAAATCCTCAGGAGTAAGCAAGATAGGGAACAGCAGTGCTGTGGCAGCTCGAAGCCGGGCATCAGTGCTTTCCAGTCCTTGCTGTATAAGTGTTCTCAGCACCTGTCCAGAACTACGTTTCAGGCATATATGTAGGATCTGTAGTGCATCTTTCCGTAGGGCTGGATTCTCTTCTCGTAAGGAGACAACGAGCTGAGGTAAAAGTGCTAAGCTAAAGGCCTCTTCCAGCTGGCCTGCCTCCCCTTGACCCCGGATAACGTCCGAGAGGAGTTGCAAGCAGAGTCGCTTCTCATCACTACCTCCTTCCACAAGCACTCGGCCCAGGGCCCGATACAATGCTTCCTTCCGTCGGGGGAAGCCGAGTCGACCGCCTCGCCGTGGCAAAGCAGCCTGCAAAGCCTGGAAGGCCTCGGAAGGATCTGGCGCGGTTCGCAGGAGTTGAAGAAGCCGAGTCTCCTCTTCATCTCCCCCCGACAAACCACCTCCAGACCCAGACCAACTACTTGTGATTGCCTCCGCGGGCATCAAGAGGGTCGAGGCCAGAGGCGAAGGTGTCGGCGGGCAGGAACCGTGGTCTCCGGCGGCTCCACGGCAATAGTTTTTCTCGCCTCTCATGGTGCCTCCACCTCGATTATCATCAGTCTGTGGGGCGGAAGGACGACTGCAGCTCTGGAGGCGATAGGCACAGAGGGCTGGAAGTTGCGGCAGCCCGAGCAGCGCAGAGGGCGAAGCCGCCATGGAGGGTCGTCAGGTGGCAGAGGCGGGAGGAAACCATCGTCTCTGAAGGGCTCGATGGAGCCCAGCCTTCCAGTTCCTCTCCAAGCCCCAAGCTGCAGAGGAAGAAAAGGAACAGCTTCAGTTAGCTGCCAAGTCTTCCTTAGGAGGCTGGCTTCGGCAAAATGGCCCCTGCCGGCGCCCTAGACCCCACAGCAGCCAGCGGGCGTAACCAGGGGCACCACGTGACCAAACCGATGGCTTCCATGGTGATCTACCCAGCGCGGACCTCTTGACCCGGAAATTGACGTGTCGTGGTGAATGCTGGGTCATGTAGTCCACGTCAGGTGTTACGCATAAGCAGCAGGCTCCTGGAAAAGGAAGTGAGAACGTTACGAAAGTAGAGAACGTATCTAGAGCGGAGAAGGCGAAAAGGGGTGAAGGCACTAGGCGGAAGTGACGTTTCCGCTCGGAGCGGAACATCCCCGCCCCACCCGAAAAGATTGAGGTTTGAAGACAAGTGAGGATCCTGCCCCGATTCCAGTGGTCCACGACTCCTCCTCCTGTCGTTGCTGGCGTGATTCCTGGGACTCAGGTATTTTCCTTTTGCTGTCCTCCTGCGGCGCAGGCTTTGGCAGAGTTTTGCCGGAGTGACGCTGGTGCTGCCATAAGAGGTAAAGAAATGCACGGGAGCTAGCAGAGAGAGAGGCGACATCTTCTTGTGCAGGGTTTGTTACCGTTGTAAATGCGTTGCTTTTTGCAACCCTGAGTAAGTGAGATCCTTCCCTCCTGCCGTCCGCGTACACTGACTGGAGATTCGGACCAAGGCCAAGCTCAGAGCTCGCGTACTTTTTTTTTTCCCCCCAAATTCTGGTCTTTGGGGCCCTTATACTCCGCCCTCCCCCGCTTCCTTTTCCTACTTCGCTTACCCTCTGGTAGTGGAAGGTTAATGATTTTCTTTCATCTTTCCTTACTTTCATCATTTTAAATTCTCTTTTAAAAACGTACTTAATCAATTTTTCCTGTATCTTACCACGTCTTTTTGAGACGTTCTCAAAGTCTCCTAATGCAGTTCCACTCTGAGACTTACTCCTTCCTTCCTCCCGTTCTCTTTGCCACCCCAACATCTCTGCAGAATCCTTGCGCGTCTCTGCAGCTTTTCAGTCTCCTGGAAACTGAGATTGCAAAGACAATTTCACTTGAGGTTGAAGTTCTTGGCATCAGGGACCTAAGAGAATTCTGCCCTGTACATTTAGGGCTAATAATAGACGTTTCTTTGTTTTAGGCGAAGTGTGAATTATTGGTGAGCGTTCTCTCCTTGTTAGTGAAACTTAAGCGGACACAATTGAAAAGCTGGAGTGTCTGGCGTGAGGCTGAATTCTTTGAAGTGTGGAAGAGATAATTTTTGAAGGAATAACACAATTAATTACTTTATAATGACCCACTGAGAAAAGGCTGTTGTCATTTGAAGTCTCTCATGCAGGTTAAATGCAAGTGGAGTCAGTATAATTGAGTTACACATGCCAAACCACTTTGTAAATAATGTTGCTGGATAATGCAAGTTTATTTATTTTTTTAAAAGATTTTATTTATTTATTTGACCGAGACACAGCGAGAGAGGGAACACAAGCAGGGGGAGTGGGTGAGGGAGAAGCAGGCTTCCTGCCGAGCAGAGAGCCCGATGTGGGCCTCTATCCTGGGACCCTGGGATCATGACCTGAGTCGAAAGCAGACGCTTAACGACTGAGCCACCCAGTCGCCTGGATAATTCAAGTTTAAACATAATTTCTGTTCGTTGTCTGAAAGCACAATTCAAGGATTATAAATTTCTTTTTTGTCTTTTGGAAATAAAATAAATGTAAATGAGCCTTGTGTAAACATTCTTATGTTTTGGTTTCAGTTCTAGGTTGTTATTTTGATTTTAATTAGTCATTTGGTGTTTAAATGAATCTGCCTAATTTGGTTTAACTTTATTTCAGTAGACACACCGCCCCTTTTTTAAATTAAAAAAAAATTTTTTTAGGGATAGTGCAAGGGCTGAGGAGTGAAAACCAAAAGAGGATTGTAGCAGTCCTCACTAAGAAGGAATGTCTGGTTCTCATATTTCCAGTGTAAGAAACTCATATTTATACATTTACTCATATATGCTCAGGCTTCAGTAACCTCACTCAAACTAAACTAAATATGAGAATGATGTACACATTAGAATGTACCTATTAGAATGCCAGTTTATGTTGGAATAGAAGATAACCCTTTCCAGTGGTCAGAATTTTCAGGTTGAAAAATCCAGTGCAGTATTGAAGAACATGGGAAATGGAGGTGGTGTGGTAATCATGAAATCAAAGAAAAGGAACTTGGAGAGTCTTGAATGATATATTATCAAAGTTATGGTAGAAGCTTAAGAATTACTTCTTCCCTCCATAGAGAATACTTTTCAAGGGTTGTGAATACTTAAGCCAACCAGTTATTGTGGCCTTTCTCTTAGAACAAAGCAAAATGAGTCTTTATTTTGACCCCTTTTCTCCTGGCTCCATAGATCACTATGTTACAGATTGCAATTTATTTTATATCTATTACATTTAATGTCTTTGGTGAAGACTTGTTAGATTCATTAGCCCCCATGGTGGATATTTAGGAAATGGGACCTTATCAACATCGTGTATCCTACTAATTTTCTTTTAAGATTATTTTGTGGAAGGCAAATCTCATTCATTTAATTTATATTCTATTTATTTCTTTTACAAAGCAAATTTAAAAAATCTTATTCTTGGGATGCCTGGGTAGCTCAGTTGGTTAAGCGGCTGCCTTCAGCTCAGGTCATGATCCCAGCATCCTGGGATCGAGTCCCACATCGGGCTCCTTGCTCAGTAGGGAGCCTGCTTCTCCCTTTGCCTCTGCCTGCCACTCTGTCTGCCTGTGCTCGCGCTCTCTCTCTCTCTCTAACAAATAAATACATTTAAAAAAAAATCTTATTCTTGAATTCCAGTGTAATCCAAATTATAGGAATTTTATATTGACCTTTTATATTTAGCCATAAGTAGAGATAAAATAAAAATTTTTAGATCAAATTCCAGAATAGTGGAATATACTATGTGTTTAATAGTATGCCTTTGAAAGTTGAAAGGCTGTAGTTAAGAATACATTGAAAAGGGGTGCTTGTATGGCTCAGTGGGTTACAGCCTCTTCCTTCAGCTCCGGTCATGATCCCGGGGTCCTGGGATCAAGCCCCGCATTGGGCTCTCTGCTCAGCATGGAGCCTGCTTCCCCCTCTCTCTCTGCCTGCCTTTCTGCCTACTTACAATCTCTGTCAAATAAATAAATAAAATCTTAAAAAAAAAAAAAAAGAATACATTGAAAATGGGTAAAACAAGTTTAAAATATCAATACTTTTTTAAAAGTTTAGTTAAATTAATGGATTATAGGAATATTTGTTATACATTAATTTTTTGAGCTGGACTTATAAACACAATTGCCCTAACAATGTCTTTTATTTCCACAGTCAGAGACAAGATATTAATTGGCTGGATGAACCATCATAGTTTTTTCTGTGTTTTTAGTCAAATTTTACAGACATCCAGGACTATTGGAAATCAGCGTGAATTCTGTAAACTATTACGGCTTTTGTATAGTTTAAGAAGTTACTATGAAGAAATGCTATGCAAAGGAAAGATGATATTAACAGGTCATGATAAGATTACCGTTTATTGATTATTTACTGTGTGTCATTCAGGGTGGTAAGTACCTAATGAATATTGACTTATTGAATTTTCACAATAATTTTTGAAATTACATAAGTTTGTGCTGTGGCACATGTTATGGATGTTTCCATGGAAAGTAATTGGACAGAGAGAGAAAGAGCTTTAGAATAGTTTTGGTGGGGAAGAGTTTTGAAACTGTAGGCTAAAATTTTATTTTTCCATTGTTAATCATTCATATATTTTATGATATATTGTTTAACTACATATATTTAATCTTCCTTTTGGGTTTCTGTTCTGAAGTTTTTTAGTTTCTTACTTGAGCCAAAACTTCAATAAGGTTAAGAAATGATGAGTCTATTTTTATATATGTGAAATTAAACAGGTTTTCTTGATGTATATCAGAGATCCATTTTCTTTTTTTCTTTTTTAGGTGTATGTTTCAAAGCCATTGTGCATTTCTGAGTCAAAATTACAACTTTAAACAAAAATCCAATTTTTGTTGCATTTCTGATCTTAATCTGTGTAAATTAACAGGATTTCACTTTCATTGCAACCAGTTTTTCAGTGGACAGATTAATTATGTAACTTATAGCTTTTGCTGGATATAAAAAAGGCTTTGAGGACTTTCTTTTGTATTATTTCTGACTTCATGATATAATGATTCATAGTATAGTGTGCTTCTAATTTTACTTTTGTTTCTCCAGATATAATTAAAGTCAATCTCAGGGAACAGGAAAATTGCCAGCTTGTTCTTAGGCCCACTCATAAAGTAGTATGCCATCATTAATTGAATTCTGCTGTGAGGAGAGTTGAACTGTGGGAAAGAAATTTAAGAAAAGAACTGATCTGATAAAATACTCTCATTTTATATAAATCATACTTTTACAGCAAAGTATATGTGTGTTTGGCTTTTTTTTTTTTTTAACAATTCTTTCTCATCACCATTTATTTTCTCTCATTGTAGCAGATAATTGCCTCCCAACTGAACTTATGCCAAGTTCAGCACCACTGTTTTCTTAGGTGTCAATTAAATAGTTAATAAACTCACAACCTGACCTTTATTAGCTTTGTTTCAGCACCCAAAATTATGAAACTGATATAGACTATGGAAAGTTTGATTTTATGTAATATTCTTTTTTTTTTTAAAGATTTTATTTATTTGACAGAGATCGCAGGTAGGCAGAGAGGCAGGCAGAGAGAGAGAGAGGAGGAAGCAGGCTCCCTGCTGAGCAGAGAGCCCGATGTGGGGCTCGATCCCAGGACCCTGAGATCATGACCTGAGCCGAAGGCAGAGGCTCTAACCCACTGAGCCACCCAGGCGCCCTGTAATATTTTTATATTGTGCATATTTATATAATGAGAATGCTGCCATTATATAAATAATAGAAGGGAATGATTATTCCATAGATGCCTCTGTATTTCATTTTAAAACCCTGATGGACTTTTGTATCTGATCTACATAGTATGTGTATATCTTTTATATATATGTTTGTGTTTGTGTGTGATCTATTTTTAAGTTTCTATGCTGGACTTTTTTAGATTCTTGTTTGAGCTAAAACTTTATTTTATTTATTTATTTATGTAATATTTATTTACTTATTTGACAGAGACACAGAGAGAGAGAGCACAAGCAGGGAGAGTGGAAGAGGGAAAAGCAGGCTTCGCACTGAGCAGGGAGCCTGATGAGGGTCTCAATCCCAGGACCCAGGGATCATGACCTGAACTGAAGGCAGTTGCTTAACCAACTGAGCCACCCAGGAGCCCCCTTGAGTTAAAACTTTAATAAGGTTAAGAAATTATGAGTTTATAAGTGAGGCTTTATAAAATAGTCATGAAGAACTCTGGAGATAGAGTGCCAAGGTTTAAATCTTGCCTGGGCCTAATTTCTCTGTGCCTC